GCCTCAGGGTTCTGCTCTCTAACGTTGAGGCCTGCCCCCTGCGCCCCGTCTTGTATGGACTCACTGAGGAGCCGAATGCTAAGTTTAATTAAAAGCACAGCACTTGTAACTTCCTGAAAATTTAAAGTACGGGACTAGACCACAGAGACACGCGTGCGCACTAAGAACTACGGCCACTTACCAGAGCCAGACTTCTGCCAGCGCGTCTCGGGGCTGTCCTGGGCGCCAGCCCCGCTCCCGAGCTTCCTGGCCGCGCTGGTTATTCTCACGCAGGGGAAGCCTGTCAGGGCACAAGGGCTTCAGCCCGCTTTACTTTTTATTTTTTTTTACTGCATACAGAACTGGGTACGGGCCAGAGGCGTGGGGCCGTGAGAGGCTTTACCAGCGACAGAGTGGGGAGCAGCGGGAGGGTGGGGGTCCAGAGAGGTCTGCTACCCTGGGGGCACCTCTGGGGCGGGGATCAGACTCGCACTGAAGCGGCTGCTGCCACCTTGCTGTGCTGCGTCCTAACCTGTTGCGCCACCAGGGAGGGCCCCAGCCTTCCTTTCCTGATCAGCTGACTCTCCAGTTACCTTTTACTTTCTTATTCAGGCGGAAAAGTGCCTATTTGGGGACTTTAAAACATTCATTGTTTACCTTTCCTTGGCCATTTGAAGCTGTTTTCCCAACTCAGTTTTCATGTGAGAGGAAAAAAGCCCCTATCCTGTTTCAGAATATAAACAGCTTAAAAACCCTTGAATAAGCAAAAGGAAATTGGAGCCAGCTCATGTTGCAACAAGTATCCAGCATTCCCTGTGCTTAGGGTGATAGCATCTGACCCCCGGGATGGAAGGGTCAGCGAGTCTCGCCGTTGTGCGCGCTGTGCTTGCACCCAGCCTGCAGAGACCGCTGGAAGCCGCATCGCCTCTGGGCACCGCAGGCCGAGAGCGGGTGGGGGCCTCTGGTTGCAGCTGTTTGGCACCTTGGTAGCTCCAAGGTTTTCAAAACAGTGGCCCCCAGCGGCAAGGGCAGCTGCTCTGCATCACCGTTTCACCTGCTCTGTTTTGCAGGTTTCGCCTCCTTCGTGAAGCAAAAGCAATGTCAAAGCGGTCAGGCATCCGAGTGCAGTTGAGGGCCTGTCTCCTCCTCCGCACACACCAACCTCACGCTCCACACTGCCCGTTCACGCGGCGCGCCCCGCTGCTGGAGCGCAACCCTCCGCAGCCTGGGCGCCTGACCAACGCGTCTCGGTGGGACAGGCCCCGAGGGGGTAGGGCACCCGAGCACAGAGTGGACAGACTTCACCTGCGTTGCCAGGCCCCTCACCCTCAGGGCACAGGTGGGGAAGCAGAGTCCTAAGGCCACGCGTGGCCGGCTACCTGACCTGGAGAGTGTCCAGAAGTCCCACACGCCAGGCCCGGCCCCTGAGAAGGCCCTGGGCTTCCCCTTCCCCAGCGCAGTGGCGGGAGCTGCCTTCTCCTCGCACCTTCCGAGGCCGGGAGCAGCGTCCATGAGGCCCAGTGGGCCCTGCCCGGCCTTACCTCCCCTTCCCGGGTTCCCGTCCACAAGGCCGGCTGCCCATTTTCAGTCCCGTGGCCGACCGGTGTCGGAGACCAGCTCCAACTATTGAGGTGTCTGGAGGCAAGACAGGCAGGACCCTAAGGTGGGAAGGCGTCGGCGAGTGGAGAGTCCTAAAAAAAGGGGAG